TACATAGTTCGTTTCGACGCCGTTGCAAAGATGATCGATCACAAATTCAGACCAAATTTAAAAATTGTTTATTCGTTTTTATTAAATTTATATACAGCTCCAAGCAATGCGTATGGGCATGTAAAAAATTTGATTTGGTACGACGATGATCCAATCGTCGCCGTGGAAGCCAATTTGAGTTTAGTCGTAGCCGTCAGCGGCCATAGTCAATATTTTTTCCTTCAAACGAGATAATTACTTTCACACCGCGACGCAGTCGCACAGGTGATTGACCGTGAATTTAGACCGAACTAAAAAATTGTTCATTCATTTTTCATCGTAGCAAATACAGCTCCAAGCAACTCAGGTTTTAACTTTTCAATGATTATGGCTTATCGGAAAGTGTTGCTTATTTTTTCGTTTGGCTTGGTATCGGGAGATTTGCTTGTTTTTATGTAAAAACTGTCATGGTATTGCCGCATAGTAGTTGTCGTCGGCCGGGCGTAGCGCTGCCTCAGGGAATTTTAGTATACAACCTTTACAATGTCGTTCGCAAAGATTGTAACGTTGTAACGGACTTCTATACATAGTATCTATCATTTTTGGTTATGCGTATTGGTAATCACTCTTTCGTTCAATACTGGGCGTGCTACATCTTGTACTGTATAGAAAACCACAATTTATTTTCTGAGTATAATAAACAATTGTTTTGTTTTACATGAAAAACTCCAAGTGTCATTATTTATAAAACTCTGGTAATACAATATTTTCCTTTGATTTTCTAGAAGCTTGCGGTCCTCATTATGTGGAAGTGAAAGAAAAAATTGTTTACAATACTGTGACATAGTGAACAAGTGGTGTAGGGGACCCGATCACCACCGGGGCGAGACCATCAGGCTGGGTATGAAACGACTTATCACATTTTTCCTTTTATTTTAGATCATACACCGCCGCTGCCGATATCTACGATTTGGAATGTCGCGCGCAACTGACCGTCGCGCCGCACCAACATATCGTGACTGCCCGCGCGGAGAGGGGAAGGAGGCGCGCGGGAGCCGCGAAGGAGCGGCGAGAAGGGGCAGTGATTGATTGCCCTTCACGAGAGCGTGAACTCCAATTGATTTTTGAAGAGAGAGAAAGGAATGAAACCGAGCGAGTACAGAGAGAGAAAGTAACGTGTTGTAGAGGAAAGTTGAGTGTGATTGCAGAGTGAGAAATAGATAAATTGTGTGAGATAGAAAGAGAGTGTAAATACTATTGTGAAAGGCTAGGTACGGAGTGAAAGAGCTGGGAGAATAAAGTAAGTTGTAAGCGATAGCGACGGGTAAAGAGTAGGGTGGTCCACTTTTTCAAAAATTTTTTGTATCTCGGGGGATCCATCGGAATCAGAAAGTTTGAGGTTTAAAATGAATTTTCCCGTAAACTAGAACTCAAAAAAATGATTTTAGATGGTGTCGATGGATTTTTGAAGTTTAAAAACGCGCTCTAAAAAAGAAGCAAAATCGGGCTATCATTCGATTTATTTCAAACTCTGTTTAGAGTGTAAAAATAATCTTGACAATACATTTTCTTATGTGTTTTTGTCTGCAGAATCGAATGCCGTAGTCAGTTTTGACCTAGGAGCACAATTTCATTCAAAAAAATACACTTTTTCGATCGTTTTTTTTCGCAAATTCCGCAAAGTTCATTTTTGAGCGAGTGGCAAATGAACAGAAAAAATCTAGAAAATTTTTTGACACCACCAAAATTTAGGATTTTTTATGACGAATCCAATGGTATAAATTAGTATATGTAAATTTGAAATTATTTTAATGCAGAAAAATACAACTTTATCCCAAAAAACGACATTACGAAAAATTGAAAAATCGAAAAGTGTATTAGTTTCTTCCAGGAAATGGCTAAGTAGAATCAATTATGGAAAAAATTGCATGAAATTGTCTGATAGGTTTTTTTCTCACCTTTTCGACGCCGGTTTCAGAAGTTAAAAATTCGCAAGATTCGCTGAGATGCAGCTATTTTTGTAAGATGCATTTTTTTAGCTTAAATTCTGCTTCGCAGGTTTTTTAATGAATAGAGCTTGCTCAGAATTATTGAGTTTTACGCCTAAAAAATGCATCTTACAAAAATAGCTGTATCTCAGCGAATCTTGCGAATTTGCAACTTCTGAAACCGGCGTTGGAAAGGTGAGAAAAAAACCTATCAGATATTTGCATGCAATTTTTTTCATGAGTGATTATACTCAGCCATTTTCTTGAAGAAACGAATATAATTTTTCATTTTTCCATTTTCTTAATATCGTTTTTTGGGATAAAGTTGTATTTTTCTGCATTAGAATAATTTCAAAGTGTACACTAATTTATACCATTGGATTTGTCATAAAAAATCCTAAATTTTGGTGATGTCAAAAAATTTTCTAGATTTTTTCTGTTCATTTGCCACTCGCTCGAAAATGAACTTTGCGGAATTTGCGAAAAAGAACGATCGAAAAAGTGTATTTTTTTGAATGAAATTGTGCTCCTAGGTCAAAACTGACTACGGCATTCGATTCTGCAGACAAAAACACATAAGAAAATGTATTGTCAAGATTATTTTTACACTCTAAACAGAGTTTGAAATAAATCGAATGATAGCCCGATTTTGCTTCTTTTTTAGAGCGCGTTTTTAAACTTCAAAAATCCATCGACACCATCTAAAATCATTTTTTTGAGTTCTAGTTTACGGGAAAATTCATTTTAGACCTCAAACTTTCTGATTCCGATGGATCCCCCGAGATACAAAAAATTTTGAAAAAGTGGACCACCCTAGTAAAGAGCGAGTGTGTGTGAGTGTGAGAGAATATTTCGCCGTGAACTGTTATAAATGAATTTATTTCATAATTAAAATCTGCGTTTCATCACTTATTGTCCTGTTCTTTGTTCATATCCATTCGCGAACCCATCTCCCCATCACGAGCCCGCGACCTATCTAGTGTACACGGCCGGGGAGCCGAGAAAAAGTACGCCGTGTCACAATACAATTAGAAACATGAAAATTAAAGCTTAAAAGAATCATACCCAGAATGCGGCGATACCTCATTCTACTAATATCAGTCATACGACAATCATATACACATTTGTGTCTTTTCTTGCAAGGATTGAAACAACCTGAAATGATTTAGTTTCACTGACAAGTATCACTGTGTAACAAAACATTATCCCATAATAATTTTCAACGATGTTAGCGTAATAAAATGAGACATCAAATTTTTTTTACCAATTTATTCACTGAAATCTAACTTATTATTGAATATTTTTCGTTTGGTTCCAAAAGTATATTGTAATAAACAAACTGTTAAAAGTCCTATGAAAAAATTTCATATTTAGACGACTTCCCTTATAAAAATTTCCTATAGGATCTCGCGAAATTCCTACAGGAGTCCTATAGGATTCCAATAGGAATTTCGCGGGATCCTATTGGAAATTTTTATAAGGGTTAAAACGCAATTTTTTTTTAAGTTTTTTCAGTGCTCTACTTATTAACAATCTTTGGGTTTCAAAGACGATGAGCTCAATTTAGACTGTCTAACCCATTTTGGTTTCGATTTAAATGAAGAAAATGCGTAAAACTTATTCGAAATAAAAAATATAAGATATATATTTTTCTCGAAGAGGTGGCAATTTTTAATAACATAGAAAATTTTTGAGAAATGAAGAGAAATGTTTTAAAAAATTAAGAAATGTTTTTTATTCTTAGAAATCTGTGAGTCCTCAAATGATAATTTTTATGATATACTTATGATATAATTTTTTTTTAGATTACATGAAGACCCAGTCAAATAAAAAAGCATTGGCAAAGGGCTTCCTCGTGAAAAATTCTATTGATAAAACGGTTTGTCTATTTAAGGGAAAATATACGTTTTTTTCATTTTCGTATACGAAAATCCAAATAAACCTATAGAGATCACTAAAATTTTATGTAAGATTCCCTTGAATAGAAACAACGTTTTTACAATTGATAATTAATAGGAACTAACCGAATCTTAAATTTTAATAAATTAGTTATAATTATTATAATTTTTCTATCAAAACTAATGAATAGGATGTAGTACTGAGAGTACATTCTTCTTACTCTATACAATGTTGACCGAGAAGGCCAATATACATACAGACATTTATTGGAAATTTTATGTAGTTTCCAAATATGTAACTCAAATTTTCCTATAACATCTGGTTTCAAATCGCATTTTCGAGCCTATTACATAACTTCCTCTATGAGGAAGCAAAATTATTTTATCATTAAAGAGTTTTATTAACACTGAGTGCTTTCCCAGTTGAAAAAAATACTACGAGGATTATCCACGCAGATTCCGCGTGGAAAGTACGTGGATTCTACAATGAAAGTGCATTGATTCCATGTGAAATCTGCGTGGATAATTTTTGTAAAAATCTGCCAAGATTTTTCGGTTATCTCTTGAAAACTTAATTTCACTCTCGTATCCTTTTTCAAGGAATAATCGAAAAATCTTGGCAGATTTTTATAAAAATGATCCACGCAGATTCCACATTGAATCAATGCACTTTCCTTGTGGAATCCACGTCCTTTCCACACGGAATTTGCGTGGATAATCCACGTAAAAATCCATGCAATTTTTTTCAACTGGGTTGTGAATTAAATTTTTTAATTTTCCTTATATTGACCGCCTTGTAAACAATCAAGATTAATAAATTAACAAAGATCAACCGGTATCATTAATTATAAAAGGTAATTAATAATTTTAACATTATAATTAATATTAATTAATTAGTAATTAATTAGTACTGGGCAAAAGTAAAAAGGAAAATAAAACCTTTAAACGAAAAACTTGAATGATCTTGGTCCTTGGCAGCAAGTGACTCACTTTATTTTTCAAATGTCAAAAACACTGAAAATCACGATACTGGCGACTAGCTTTAGCCGTGGAGTGACGGCGAACTTAATGTAACGTAGGCGCTAAGGTGGTAACTAGTGGATGCGCATTGCGCACACTGCACAGTTCAGCTCGAAAGCTGGAACGCCTCGAATCACACACGTGCTCGTGTTCTTACGCGTGTAAAAACGCCGGCCCGTAAAGTGGTTAAGATTTGATTAACTGCAGAGAGTGTTTGTTAAAAATTACTGCTTCAAAATGTTGGTTCTCTTCGAGACACCGGCTGGTTACGCTATTTTCAAGGTAAGTTTCTTGCAACAAACTCATGTTTATTGTTGTGATTATTTCTCAAGCATTGTTTGTGACTAAAAAAGAGGCTAGAACCGGCCACGTGTTTTTGTCCTAAGCCAAGTCAAAATGAAAATTTACATATAAGTTTTCTGTGATTTCCACTGAAAATTGATTTTAAAAACCATGTGTTTTTATACATCATAGAAAAATGAAGATGAACACGCAGTTGTTTAAAAAGTTTTCAGAGAAAATCTCAAAAAATATGTTTCATAATAATCATTTTAGCCTAGCTCCGTTTATCATTATCTTGTTAATATTGACGTTCGGTATCTCGTTAGTCTTGTCAGACATTGTCAAATCTTTTCAAGCTTATGAATATTGATATTATTTGAATCATCATTGACATTTCAATTTCAGGTTTTGGATGAGAGTAAAATAGAGAAAATTGATAATCTTTATCATAGTTTTGAATCGCCTGAAGGAGCTAGCAGAATGTGAGTATTGTGTTTTTGAAATTATTTGTCAAATACCTTGAACAATTTCAGAATTTAATTTTGGTTTTAATTCATTCTTTTTAGTCTCAAGTTGAAACATTTTTCTAAATTTGAGGATACAACCGAAGCTCTTGCTGCAACTACTGCTGCTGTCGAAGGAAAATTATGCAAGAGTCTCAAGAAAGTGTTGAAGAAGGAGTGTGCTTCCCTTCAAGAAGAACTTGCAGTTGCAGATGCAAAACTTGCAAACTCTATTAAAGAAAAGTTGAATCTTCAGTGTGTTAGTAATTCAGCAACTCAAGAGTTAATGAGATGCATACGTAGTCAGTTAGATGGATTATTGGGAGATATTCCAAAGAAAGAAATGACTGCTATGGCATTAGGTTTAGCTCACAGTTTATCTAGATATAAGCTTAAATTCTCACCCGATAAAGTAGATACAATGATCATTCAAGCTATTGGTCTTATGGATGATATTGATAAAGAATTAAATAACTATGTTATGAGAGTTCGAGAGTGGTACGGATGGCATTTCCCTGAACTTGGAAAAATTGTGACCGATAATTTGGCTTTTGTAAAAACGATCAAAACAGTTGGTACACGAGAAAATGCCATTAACACAGATTTATCAGACATTCTTCCTGAAGATATTGAAGAAAATGTGAAACAGGCTGCTGAAATTTCCATGGGAACTGAAATCTCAGAAGATGATATAAGAAACATCTTACGTTTATGTGATCAGATAATTGATATGACTGCATACAGAGCACATCTTTATGACTATCTGAAGGCACGCATGATGGCCATAGCGCCAAATCTGTCTGTTCTCATTGGAGATCTTGTTGGAGCTCGTCTTATATCTCATGCTGGTTCACTCATAAATCTTGCTAAACAACCTGCTTCAACTTTGCAAATTCTTGGTGCTGAAAAGGCTCTTTTCCGAGCTTTAAAGACAAAAAAAGATACTCCTAAATATGGTCTTGTGTATCATTCAGCACTTATCGGTCAAGCTTCAACTAGAAATAAAGGTAAAATGGCAAGAATGTTATCAGCTAAAGCATCACTGTGTGCAAGAGTTGATGCTCTTGGTGAAGAAGTCACTTATGAGATGGGTGCTGAACACAAAGTTAAGTTAGAATCAAGGCTGAGATTACTTGAGGAAGGTAATATTCGCAAAATCAGTGGAACTCCAAAAGCTAAAGCTGCATTCCAAAAGTTCCATGCCAAGAGTGAAATAGCTGAATATCCAGTTGCTGCAGATTCAACTATCAAAAGTGAGGTACCAGACAGGAAACCTTTGATTGAAGAAATCAAAGAAGAAAAAGATGTAATAGAGGAGGAAGTAAAAGAAAAGGAACAAAATGGAGATGATGTAGATGAAGAAGAAACAAAAAAAAAGAAGAAGAAGAAGAAGAAGAGGGCCATGGAAGAAGTAGAAGTAAAAGTTGAAGAAGTAGATGTTAAAGTTGAAGAGCAAGAAGAGAATGATGGAGGTAAGGATAAAAATATTGTTTTAAAATGATTTCAAAATGTATAATTTTTTAAGAAATTTAATAATAACAAAATATTTTTAATTCCAGAGCCAAAAAAGAAAAAGAAGAAGAAGAAGCACTAAAAGTTATGAACTATAATATTTTTTCTAGTCTTTCATGACAATTTACAACAATATGTGATTGTATAATAATGATCATACATAATTTATAAATACATATTGTGTGTACATATAAATGCATAATAGTAAATATGTTCAACAATTAATACAATACCGGTTGACATGTTTATGTCAGTATAATAGAAGTGCTACAGGAACAGTGCATTGTAATTGAAACATTACGCTGTTAATTACTTGCGCTTTAATAAACATACAAAAGATATACTTATTTATGTACTTTCATTTCATATTTAAATTTTGTGCGTATGTGCATGAAAAAATATTATATTCAAGATTAAGTTGGAAATGTGCCTGTAATGAATGAATGAAGAATACATTATGCATAATGCATATGTGCGAATCATTAAAATACCTTGATATACATATGTTATAACAGGATGCTATTGATATTAATACAGATGAAGTGATATATGGATAGAGTTTTATATAAGACCACAAGATTATAAAATTACTCAATTTAAGTGAAAAATCTAGGGAACTATAATATTTATTTATAATGTTAAAAAGTATAAATTAAAATGAGTGTAAAAGCAGTATTTTGACACTATATAAATATATAAGATGAGAGAAAGATGAATAATTTTGAATTGTGCATATTTTAAATTCCATCATTTTGTGATAACTGTTCGCTATGAACTGCTATTTAATTCTCACTCCCAAAACCTAACTAATTTTTGAAAAAACGAATTAGTTTGTACTTGCATATTTACAATCTTTCAAATGTGAAAAAAAATTTTAACTTTATTCCGGACATGAATCGGTACCTCTCCGCTTTAGCCGGCGATTAAAGCTACTTAAGCTGTATCACTTTTTTTAAATTTTGAGGGTAATTAGAGAGTGGTATTTTAGTATGGTAGTTTGTAGTTTTTTGGACTTTTTATCTTTTCAATTTTTGCAGTATCCGCAAACTCTGCTAACTATAAATTACTTTTAAAGCTAATAGTGAATCTATAAAATGTATTCAAAAGTGTATACAAGAATAAAGTTGGAAACTTGTACTTAATTTAGAATTCAAAGAAGGTCAATGTGGGTATTTTCGCTCATGTCTCTATATTCGCTCAATAATTTAATATTAAAGATCTAATTTAACACAAAATTTTTTTTTTTAAATTGATCGTATTGAACTGAGCATGTTTAACATAAATTTATTATTTAAATACTGGTATTAAGTTTTGATTTCATGTAAAAATTCAATTCAAAGTTGAGCGAAAATACCCACATTGACCTTATACTTACGCTTAGTAGTTGATTATTTTTGTGGTATGCAATGTCATGTAATTTTATTTATGAAAATGAAATAAAATCATTGATTTAACATCAAGATGCATTTAATGTTAACACAACTTTTCCTACTTGATCCACATGATATTTAACTAAAAGATGAAAAAAATTCAATTTTTTGCACTTAAAGTTGTAAAATAGTATTCATCAATATATTTAAATCAATATAACTTTATGGTTTGATTCAAATAATCACTTGGGTATGATGTTTTCTGCGAGAATATTTCATCATCAGATGTTTATTAATATTCTAACAATAAAATGAAAAAATTCAATAGATATAAAAATTAAGCAAAAGTTTGTCTCACATACTGTTTGTTATTGTTTCGGTCAAAAAATCACAAAATAAGTTAAATTGTTAATTTTTATTCAATAAAATAAAACTATAATGAAATCGATTAGTTATTGTTTTATTGATGCTGGTACTGAACAAGTTATATGTGTAGACCCACGCGTTCGTTTACTTAAAAAGTAGTCATTACATCTAAGCTAATTATTCATTGGTTCGTCCTAAAAGTTATTGACAAATAAACAAATTTGAAAAAACGATTAATCTACAAAATGGCATAAACTCCTCGGAAATACCAATAATTTTTTATGTTGAATAATTCTATGCTTGTTGAATAATTCTATGCTTGTTGAAATATTTAATTTGGAAAATAAATAATTTTACCAAACAATCGAATGAATAATCTTGATTGATTCATTAATGAAATTATTGCTAAAATATTTCTTCAAAATTCAGATCATTTTTAAAAATTTTGCGCTTTCAGCGGGAGCGTCGAAATACGCAAGTATTATTACTGTATGCGACCGTCATGCTCCCGCTTCATAGCCTAATCTCTGAAATATAGAACTCACGTGTTAAAAAGTTTCTTTTATCCCAGATTCGTGTACCGCCGAGACGTCGATCTCTCGCGGTTAAACACCAATATGGTAATGTTTTAAACTAATAATTATAATTTGCAAAAAAATACAAGTAACATCACGAGCGTTATTAGTCGATAATTAAAGTCGCAACTTTTTCAATGCATAAATTGTTCAAGATCTTATTGATGTGCTCGGATGTTGCTCGCTATACTACGACAATTAGTGAATCGCTTTATTTAATTAAAATTTCACGTATTTTAATTTGAACTATTACTTATAACTTTCTTGTAAACTGGTGGTTAGTGATTAGTAATTATACGCCTAAAATTAACTTAGTTATTATTTTTTTACTTTTCCTTTATTGTCCACAACATGGTTCATTAGAGGTTAAGACCGGCTAGATATTTTGCTACCATCTGTAAATATAATTTTTCAAGTCTTGAATACGTAACCCAATAGCGCTCATGAAACTACTTTATCAATTACTCATTATTGTGTTTGTCAAATGATGATACACTCAGCTCGCTATGATGCATACTGAAGAAAAAACAATTGTTCCCTAATAATGTTTAAATCTGAATGACAAATACTTAAACTCCGCTTTCTTATTACTTATGTTAGTATTCCTTGAATGATTTATTAATCATGAATTTTCAATTTTATAGGGTTTCGTCAAAGTAGTTAAGTGTAAGCAATACTTTAAGAGGTACCAAGTCAAGTTCAAGAGGCGTCGTGAAGGAAAAACTGACTACTATGCCCGCAAACGTCTTACTGTACAGGACAAAAATAAGTACAATACTCCAAAGTACAGGCTGATCACCCGTATTTCCAACAAGGATATTACATGTCAAATTGCCTACTCCAGAATTGAAGGAGACAAAATTGTCTGTGCCGCTTACAGCCATGAACTTCCAAAATACGGTGTGAAAGTTGGTTTGACCAACTATGCTGCTGCTTATTGCACTGGACTTCTTTTGGCGAGAAGAGTAAATATTATTGAATATTAATATTAGTACAATATAAATACAAAAATCTTATATGATGATCCACTCAGCTCGCTTTGATGCATAACTGAAGAAAACACACTTGTTCCCTAATATTTTTAAACTGAAAATGATTCAAGTCAATTTAAAATTATTATAGTTTTCAAGGACAAATAAAAATTTATTCTTTTTTTTTTAGTTGCTCAAGAAATTGGGATTAGACACCTTGTATCCTGGTACAACTGATGTCACTGGTGACGAGTACAATGTTGAAGAACTAGACAAAGGACCAGGTGCTTTCAAATGCTACCTCGACACTGGTCTCATGCGTACCTCTACTGGTGCCCGTGTTTTCGGTGCCATGAAAGGTGCTGTTGATGGTGGACTTAACATCCCTCACAGGTAAATTTCTATCTATTCATATATTTAATTATCTTAATTAAATTTGATGATGAATAATAGACACATGCGCGTCATCTGAGCCACCATATTTCTTCTATTATATTTGTGTTTTATGAATATAGGATGAAGATCTATATCGGCACCTCAAGATTATAACGTGTCTCTGAATTTTTAAAAAAACAAAAATATATACTTTTTGGATTATTAGACAGTTATTAAAAATATGTCTCTTTTTTTAGTTTGAAACGATTCCCTGGATACGATAACGAAAGCAAATCTCTGAATGCTGATGTTCATCGCCAGCACATTTTTGCTCAACATGTCGCTAACTACATGAGAACTTTGGAGGAGGAAGATGATGATGCATTCAAACGTCAATTCTCCCAGTACATCAAGAACGGCATCACTGCCGATAGCGTAAGTTTCTTTCAATATTGTTATCATACGTCTAACTATAATTGCTGCACAACTTTATTACGTTGTGTCGCGTCGCAGTTGGACAACATTAAAGACGTTGACTAAAAAACAAATGTAACACTTTTATAAGTTTTACAACTCAAGTTAACGTCACAGTTTCCATGTAACCAAAAAACTTGGAATTTTCTTTTGTAACTTAATTTGAATTTACAGATCGAAACCATGTACAAAAAAGCACATGAGGCCATCCGTGCCAATCCAGAACACGTCAAGGAAGAAAAGAAACCACAGGAGAAGAAGGTGAGATGGAACAGAGCCAAGATGTCTCTGTCCGAAAGGAAAAACCGCGTCGAGCAGAAGAAAGCATCTTTCCTCAAAACGCTCGAGGCCGAGGCATAAGAACATCGTGCTCGTTAGCATCTGGACTCTTGTTGTTTTACGTTTTCCTGGTATTTTCAATTATAATATCGAGTTGACATTTGTATTGAGAATACGCTGCGATGAGAGTTACAATAAAAACAGAATTTACAAAAAAAAAAAAAAACCCGACCACTGTTGTACATACATTCATACTCGACAATTGTAATAAATCACCGAAATTTTATTTTTAATCTGCCACTTTGTTGCATTCTATTTTTTCAATCACGGAAATAGGTTATGAGACGACATGTCCTTGTATCGCTCATTCGTCCAGTGCAGGAGATCGACAACACGTTTTCGCTCATAAATTAATTCGGCCTGCATCGATTCGATCGCTTCCACTTTCTCGATGTACGACAGCGAGCATCGATCGGATAGTCACGTATGATTTGATTCGGAGCAAAATATAACCGATCTCCGTATAAGCTTTTTACCCCCCGACCCAACGAAGCCCGTGTGCAGAAAATCGATTAACCCTCAGATATCGAAGGCGTGCTGCTGCAGCGACAGAGTCGTCGACATTGGCGGAGCATCGAAACTCGGCCTCGACGACGATGACGACGACGATGTCGAATCCGAGGACACTCGGCCGCCGACCGAATACGTCGAGTCGGCCAGGGATATCGGTAAGACGATTTTTCACCCCTTGACGACTCTCGAGACAAATATCCCTGTATATCTACAGATTACGAATGCGAGCCGCGCTTTCCCGGCGTCGACGAGGCGCTGCGCAAGTCCCGAGTGGATCGTCAGGTCGAGATCGGCAGATTCGAGCGAGAGATCGACGAGCTGCATCGCGAGTGCGACGGGATAACTGGAAACCTCGTCGATGCCTTTCACCGCGACGTCGAGCGCATTCGCGCCGAGATCGAGCATCGCAAGAACGACTTTTGCGACGTAACGAAACTTTTTCATCCGATATACACTATTCGATACACTACTGATAAAAAAACAAACAAAAATAGTCGCCGTGTCAAGAGTTCGAGGAGTTCGAGGCGACGATGAACTCGACGTGGCTCTGCCGCGAGAGACGCCGCATCGACGATCTGTTCCTCGCGATCGAGGACTGCGAGGCGACGCGTCAGTGCCGGGCTGCGCGACTCTTCGCCGGCCGCGTCGACTCGCTGCGCAAATTCTACTGCTTCGACATGGACGAGCTGCGCTCGTACATGGCAGGGCGGACGCGCGACTACAATCGGCGCTCGCTGGACCGGCACAAGGGCTACGAGGAGCTGAGGCTGCGGCTGCGCCAGGCGGCGAGCGAGCACAGGCGCGACTTCGGCCGCTGGCTGGACGACGTCAGGCGAGATCGGGCCGGAGTTTGCTACAGAAAAGTCCTCGACGACTATCGGTATCATTTTGCTATATTAATCGTTGCATCGACGATCGACGAAGAAAATAATTTTTGTGCAAAATCGTGATCAGCAAAGCCCTGGATCTGTACGAGAGGTTCGGCGCGACGTACTTCGAGTCGCTGCACGGCGAGACCGAGCTCTGCCGCTTGGACTGCCTGAAGACGCTGATATCCGAGGCGGTCGCGAGGGGCTGGGACACGGTGGCGCCCTTCGCCGCCGCCAGATTCAAGGCCCAGTCGGACGAGCTGGAGACTCTGATAGACGAGGTCGATCGACAGGTCGCGACCTTCCTGAAGGCCTACGAGACGGCCACCGAGGAAGAGCTGCAGCGGGTGCGCGACAGACTGGAAAAGATCGAGCTGTACGAGGGCCAGGTGGACGCGATCAGCGACGCCGAGCCGACGATCGAGGCCGCGAAAAAGTCCTACGAGCGAGTCCGCGACGAGACGCGGCAGCTGTTCGAGGTGCGCCTGGCCGGTATCCGGCTGGAGACCGTGGCCAAGATGAGGCGGGAGGGCGCCGAGGCGCTGAAGCCGTGGCTGGAGCTGGGCTCGCCGTGGGACCGGCAGCTCGAGAGCTTCGCCGAGCTGAGACGGGCGACGATGGCCCAGCTGGAGCTGAGATTCGAGCGGGCCGAGCTGGAGCACGAGGAGGCGCGGGACAAGTGCGATCGGCTGATAGCGAGCGAGCTCAGGGTGGCCGACACCGACAAGAAGCTCGACGAGCGTCACCAGGCCGTCGGCAAGCTGCTCGACCAAAGAGTCAAAAAGTACGATCGAGTGGACTTTTAACGAGGATGCGGATGATCGTTCGACCGTATATGAGTTTTGTATGGCGCGAATCGTCGCAGGTACAAGGACGATTTGGAGGAGGACTGTAAGATCGTGAAAAAATGCCGCGAGTCCGTGAGGAAGGAGACGCTCGCGATGCTCAGCAAGCTCACGAAATTCGTCCAAGCCCACAGTCCCGCTGCCAAGGATCGAGACCAGATCGCCCCGGAATCGGCCAAAGAACCCACCACCACCACCACCGACAACAACGAGTCGTCGGCCGGCGAGTCGACGACGGCAGAGCCGCTGCAGGATCATCGAGCCGTAGCCGACTGCGGCTCGGTCGATTACAACGAGCACATCGCCCGGGAGCTGGCCCTGATCGAGCCGCAGATGGGCTCGCTGCGCGTCTGGAGCGCCGAGCTCCTGAAAAATCTCGCCGAGTACCTGGGCCTGTACGAGAGCGACATCATGAAGATCGTCGACGCCTGGCACGACAGATTGACCGACGAGATGACGCGCTACTACGGCCAGAGGCTCGAGGAGCTCGATCGGCAGCGAGAATTCGTCGATGTTCGGGTCTACGAGGTTCGTCGGGAGGAGCTGTCGAGTCATCGATCCTCGCTAGATATCCACAAGCAGGTATGTACGATGATTATTGTCATTATTGACGATCGAGCGACGCTCTGGACATTGGATGATTTTTCTTTTACAAAGAGGATACTGCAATGGCTCGGCGAAGCCGCGAATTACTTTCCGGACTTTTCGAGGCTGCTGCAGGATTACAGCGACAGGTGTAATCGAGCGATCGCCGAGAAGGGGCCTCGGGTGAAAAAAAGCCTGCCGGTGATGCGGCTGCTCGATACGGTAATTCGTAGCTTGAATTATGATAAACATTTGAAACTCTTTGATTAATCCATAGAGAATTCTTGAAGCGTGCAAAGGACATGATTGTTCATTCAGGTGCTGAAAACATGGGAAAATGGGGGATAAATAAACATTTGGATAGGTATTTTGTCTATTTCAGAGAACAAAAGAGTTTTCCTGAATATCATTATCTCATTCCATGTCGTAACTTTTCTCTGACTTTCTTTTACATCTCATGACTATCCAAAATTAATTAATAGAAACTCTTATAGAGTTCAAAACTTTTTTACGTAATAAAATTTTTCCGCAACTTCGATCGATGCGAAGTAAAAAATGATTGGATTTGCGCATTATTAATACATTGAGAAAAATACCTTAGACTATACATTCCATATTTACTATGAATATAGTAATTTTGTTGTAGTATTTTGCTTTTTTTCTTGGGACCTTAATGAATTATTATCAAAACATCCTTTACACGTGTTAAGGGACAAATTTTTCAAGCAGGATTTTAACCAAAATTTTCAAACATAATTTTTTCATTGAATTGAAATCGAAATGTTTTACAGATCGAGAAATTTAAGCAAGAGTGCTCCAACAAAATCGACCACGAAATTGAAGACGTCAATCACACCCTGTCGCGCTCGGTGAACATTGTAGAAGAGAGTAACGAAATATTCATGAGTCAAGTGGTGTAATTGATTATTTTGTTTACACTCGTATACCCGAGCTTATTGCATGATAATACCTTTGATACGCCTTTGTCAACGCAGGTCGTTCGACGACGGGGGTAATTACGGAAGCGAGGAGATCGCCACCGCGAAGAAAGAGATCGACGCTCTGGAAAAACTCCTGCACAAGGACGACACGGGCAATCGTCAAAAAGTCGCGAAAATCGCCCAACAGGCCAGCGATCAATTGAACGACATCCACAAGAAATTTTTCGATGTGTTCGTATCTCAGCTTCAATTCGATCATCTTCTCGCGGTGTCAATTTTTTTTACGTAATTTTTCGTCGCTCGATTATCCGCAGATTGAGCGCGACTTTGGACAAATTTCAGCTCGTCGAGAGCATCGACAAAGCCATGAACGAGTGCGAGGTCCAGGTCACGGATTGCATGAACCGATTGGTTCGGTCGAACTCGGACGTGCTCGAGGCTTACGACGTGTTTTACGGGAAATGCGAGAACAGAGTCGAGATGTCCGAGGTGCTCTGCTCGCTCGAAAAGCTGCGACGCGCGATGCGGAGTAATCATGCGTTCGTGAAGGGGCCGTTTCCCATCATCGAGAGTACGCGGAGAATTTTGCAATGAAAAATGAATTACCAGTGCGAATAATCGTTTCTTCCTCCACAGTACCCAGTGAAATCGAATACAGCACTATGCAGAGTATCGATGGAAAAAGTGTCGCTGCGGGAAAAGATGGTAAAAAGAAGAGAGATTCGAAGAAAGATTCGAAGAAAGATTCGAAGAAAGATTCGAAGAAAGGTAGACTATGTGTCAAAAAATCAGAAGTTGCTAAATCCGACAAAGAGGATGTGAAAATTAAACAGGAGGATGGCAAATCGGAAGTAAATAAGGAACACGTGGAAAATAATAAATCAGAAGTTTTTAAATCCGAGAACGAAGATGTTACAAATAAACATATCAAACACGAGGATGGTAGATTAGAAGTTGCTATATCTAAAGAGGAAAATAATCAAAATGATAAAGCTGAGGATGTGACTGTAATTGACGAAGATAGCTATGCTCTGTTGATTGCCAAAAATATCGATCGTGTCCTGAAAATCATTCAAACGAATGGAACGGTAAGATCAATTGCGGATATAGAAATTGGCGTCATATTAACGATACATTTAAAAATTCACAGCATTACTACACATCGCTGAAAAATAAAGAGGAACATCCGTCGATCGGTTGCAAAAATCAATTGTGCGAAACGCGAATTAATGACGCTCTGAAGAAACTTAATTCTATACGCGATGCCGCCTTCGAGTTCTGGATTGAAAAATTGAACAGTTCGTTCTCTTTGATTATGCTTGAAACTACCAATTAACGAGAGAATTAACTTTAGTCTAATTTCAGGATTTGCGGAATTGATAAGTGCTACTCAACTACCGTCGATCGATTACTATCTCATGGACGAGACCGAACGGGAAAATTTCTTGAAAAATGAAGGTCTCGTTTCTAGTCGAAACGATTCGACGACCCTGAAAATAAACGACGAATTTTCGAGGTTTCAGGTAATTAATACTAATGATAATAAAAATAATTTTGTCAAAACAACAAAGAAATACTTTATTCAATGGAACAATGGAAAAATTTATTTTACAGAACGCTTTGTCAGACATGCTCGATCAACTCCGCTCGAAATCACCAACAACAATTTCACCTTGCCTAGAACTATGATAAAAAGAAACACAACAATTTTCTTCTGGATTAATTTTTTTTACAATTTTTTTTTTCTTCTCTTTATCTAAAAAACTAATTGAACACAGCAGTCGATTCACTTCAATCACCCGATGGATCTTCAACTATTCAATTTTATATGTCACACTATCACCGACGTCCGAACATCACGACACGAGCAAATTGGTATAAAATAAAAGGAGTCATTAACGTTTTCAATAAATGTGTGCTACGGTCAAAATTAATGGATCATCGAAGCGTTCGCGATGAAATACTTGATGTAACGTAGTCCCTCAAGTTCTCAACGAAAAAGCGACAAGCGACCACGAGAGCCGGGAACGCGTCCTCGCGAGTCCAACAGACCGGCTTGAATGTCCGTGATCGACGGCACATTGCGAACCTCGCCGCGGGCCGCGACACTCGGTGGCGATTTGAGAAGACGATGAGCTACTCGCATGATGTCATCGCTAGTTGTATTTTCTGTAAGAAGAATAAAGCAAAATTATCATGAGAATTGTAAAATATCGTTTATGCTTCATTAGTCAAGAAATAATCACCAATTGCTTGAATAAAATATTCTGGTCGTTTTCTGACACCAGTGGCGAGAACTTGTCGGCCCATATCTTCAAATACTACTGGTCTTTGCTCCAAATTCATCAACAACATAGATTGCAACTGTTTCTTAGCTCTCTGTAAATAGCAATATACATGTCAGATTGTTAATCAAAGTGAGTTTATTCATTTTTGAGGTAAAAAAAAATAATTACAGCGAGTTCGTCTGTGGCAAGTGTACCAGCCATTGCAACCATTTCGTGCACAAGTACTTCGGCCATTTCTTTCACATGTGATGGGGTTGATGAGGCGTGAATGCAAAACAGACCTGTATCGGCATAAGCATGATTGTACGCTGTTGCACTGTACAACCAATGGTATCTGTCACAGAAAAAAAGCATAAATACAAAATTTAAAAAATTTTAACAGTTCTATTCTGTACTAATGAAAAAAGTATGTACCTGTTGAGAACATTGGTGTACAAACGTGTGTACATGCCTTTTCCAGGTCCACCAGCACTAAAACTGCCACCACCGCCCATCATCATATTGAGGACACACATAGGAACAAAATCAGGGTCTTGATGCGAACAACCTTCCAAACCAATGACAACATGAGACAATTCAGGTAATCCACTAGGACCAGCATAGACAGGGACATTACATTCTTCTAAAATGTAACCGCCTGTGTATTGTGCAATAGATTCATCCACAAAGTGTTTGGTTCTATCGGGTAAAATTAGACTGGGATCTTCATCCCAAATTGCTTTCTGATCTACAAAGTATTTTTGTACAGCATCCACTAATCTTGCATGCTCTACACCAACTCCAGCAACAACCATTCGCTTTGGTGTATAATGATTTTTTAAATATGTGAACAAGATATTTCTGTCTATTTTGTTAACATTTCCTTCTGGGCAAATTTTTGGCAATCCCAAAGTGTTATCTCTGTAAGCTGCCTATAATTATATAATATATAAATTACATGAATACACATATTAAAATTATGTATAAAATTATTTTATACAAAAATTTAGATAAAGAAAACACATGTTAAGTGACTTACAGCATGAATCATATCCATGAGCAGTGTTTCTTGTTCTGGCCTCGTTAAAAGTGTTTCAAGTTCAAATTGAATAATTTGACTAGTAATATTTACCTTTAAACATTATACATTACAATTAATATTTTAAGATATTTTATAAAAGTAAAAGTACAAAGTACTAAGCTTATTACCTCATCTTCTGTTATTCTTGGTCTAAGAACAATATCACCCAAAATTTCTGTAACTTGATCTAAACCTTTGATTTCTGCAGATGCAGCATAAATAAATGTATCTCTGGAAGATTGACAATCACAGATACCGCCATGTTTCTCTAATGCAAGCATAATATCGTCTCTGTCTTCATATTTTTTTGTAGACTAAAAATTTTTTTAATAATTATTAATGCCATTATTTATATTACAAAGGATAATTACTTAGCAAAACTTACACCAAAAGCTAGCTTTTCCAGAAAATGTGATATTCCACTTGGATAAGCCACTTCATATCGGGAGCCAGAGTCAATGAGAACTGAAACAAAAAATGACAGTTCATGCTCTGTATGGTGCTATTAAAATAGTTAATCAAATTACGTACCTCCTATTGTGCAAAACTGTCCAAATCTGTTCTCTGAAGCCACTCTCAACCCATTTGGTAGCACTGTAATTTCTGTTTCTTGATCTTTTTCTTTGGCTGATGAATAAATGGGTGTGGGTAGGCCTGGTATAGGTTCCGATAAGGGTGGATATGGGGTTACTGATGACCTTATAGATTCTGGCAACTTCACTGATGTTGCCAATCCACATTTTTGTAGGAAGTATTGACATTTTGCATGTACGCCACTATAAAAGATTAGTACGTCAATAAATATTTGCTACTGCACTTACATTATGATATGCAACAGTATAGAGTAAAAAATAAAATTAACAATTATCAAATTCAAGTTCAAGATTGACCTATAAATTACTAAAAATTAACATATGGGCTTGAGTGCACAATGATATTCATTCAGAAAGTATCTTGAAAATGTTATAAATTAAGACATCTGACGAGGTTATGTCAGACAATGCACTAGTCCAATGGGTATTACATGAATATAATATAGCTGGTACCTATTTTTTAGTGCCGTGACAAGCGGTATTTGCGATGATTTAACCAACATTTTGTCGTGTCATGAGTTTCGGCGTGCCTCGAGTTTGACGAAATCTTGTTAATTAGATATTTACAGTAGGGGAGCAGACAGATATCAATTCTTTTTTTTTCTTCTTTCAGTGAGATTTTCTCTCACTTCTCTTTTTATCCCACTTATGACTTGTGAGAGTCTACCACGCGCCGCGACTCCTATGCTGTGTCCTATCACATGTAAATGCTGACATGCGTGTGCAGCGTATATCAAAAGTTAGCCTATTAATATTAAATTGATTCGAAGATGTGTGTGTGTCTGCTGCATCAATGAACGTCGGTTTGACATTCTCGAATGGAAAGCCATTTAGTTGATGTTTTTCGAGTATAATTAATAATTGCGCTGTTATAGTATCGTGAAAAAAATCATAGGGTAGAAACAAATTTGAATTACAGAGGGGATTAACGTTGTAACATCGATGAGAAAACTAATGATTTTAATTGAGTGGTTATTGAAAAATAGATATAAGATATCGGACTTGTGCAGTTAAAAATAATTTTTCGGAGAATTGCATTTTCATACCAGCGAACGGAATGTTAGGTATACATTTCAGAGTGATGCAAGCAAAAGTTAAAATTGCACCGAATAATTTTTTTCAATACTATCAATACCCAAAAATTTACGTACATTCAACTTCAGGCCTCAGAAAGGGGAACTTTGAAAGTTCTAAAAATAAATTAGAAAATGTAGAAAATTTGAGAATTTATTTATCTTAGAAACGCATCGTATCAAGAACTTTTATGGTTAAAAATGAAGAATAAAATTTAAAAACACATTTCCTTAAATTTATATTGTTAATTTATCATTCATAAATAATATGTATCATATCAATGACAATTCTTGATATTTAGAATTAATTCAATATGATTTCCTATGGTCGGTCATAATTTTAATATTTCATTTTGGTAATTAGAAAAATTATATTGAATTAATTCTAAATATCAGGAATTGCAATTGATATGATTCAATTGAATTCTAGAAATTCGGTTAAAATTTTAGGAAATTGAGTGATAACAATTGTCGACTCCAATTAAACGTTTATTACGTGAAATTTATAAAAAGTCAATCATCTTTTTCAATGAAACATCCAATTTGGATTTTCGCGTCATAATATGACATACATTTTTTTCCAATAATCGGCTAATATATTTATTATACCTACTCAGTGAGAAAGATAACTAATTAAAACACGAAAGAGTCGAAGATTAGATTTAAATTTACGTTTCGCGTTCAACAAGTGAAATTAAATCTCCTCTCCCATCTCCTCCAATAGCCGTGATCGTCTAGTGGTTAGGACCCTACGTTGTGGCCGTAGTAACCCAGGTTCGAATCCTGGTCACGGCAACGTTCCTACGGAGCGTTGTCACGGTGGAGGACTTCTTTTTTTTCTTTTTTCAATTCATCGACTCGATCGAACGTAACAAAAATATTCACACGCTCGACGATAAATTATCAACAATTACCCTTTTTTTCTCGATTGTTGTAATGGCTCCGATAAATCATCGATATCTCTCCGGTATGATTTATAGATCTCGCGCGCTTACGATTCGTCGGGCGGGTAAACATTACGATTGATATAGATATAATTGTGCATGTCGTATCGCGTGATACGTTAAAGTGGCTGATTTCGAGAGAGAGAAAAAAAAAGAAAAAATCATCGCTTCTTTTTTTCCTTTTTTTTCTTTCAGTTTCGAAACGATCGATATTGATGTTACGATTTCAAAACAGTCGGCGTGTACGTCTCTAATGGTGTAGTACTATAGTATGTACTAAGTACACCTCGACACAATATGAGCCGCGTCGCGGTATGAGGCTTGAAAACAATTGAACTTTGTGCAGTAATTCGACATTCTTATCAAATTATTCGAAATAATTAGAGTCGAATCGTCATTGATTTAAATAAATTTAAATCAATTGAAAATCGTCTTATTGTTTACCGGGGATATACAGAGGTGAAACTCTGTACTGTACGTCTTTGTTATTGAACGAGGTTAGGTAAGTTTGTTGTATTACACGCTAGATCATTTTTTATTTTTGAGTAATAGATTGAAATTCTTTTTTTTTTAATTTAATTTAACACATTTTTCAATAACTTTTTATTGTTAATAATCAATATATCAACATTTTTATCCGATTTGTAGCTGCTTTATTAAATTTTAAAATAAATACCTCTTTTACAATTTAAAAATACTATTATTTTAAAAATAACAACATTTTTGCAGGTAAAATTTCATCAAAAATGTATCGAACATTTTTCTTGTTAATCGGTCTACTCGCCGTGGCGCGATGTGAAAGGGTAAGTCGCAGTTATACTCGCTCTTTATTTTTCTCTAAATTAGCACCTTATAAATCGATAAATTGATTTTATACTTTTTGACGTATACGCGCTCGCATGCATAACGTGCAACGAGTATATAATATTTGTGCTGAACAATTTGCAGCTCGCCGAGTCGGACTGCACTTACGATGCCGCCCTAGTGTCCTATCATCCGGTTACCGATGGCGACGGCCCTACAATGGCCGAGGCCAACGCTCGCAATTATCAGAAAATCATCGCAGACGCCGCCAATTACGTGAGTTATTTTCTCTCGTTGAGGCGATATACCGAAGCCTCATTTTTTACAAAAATTCAATTTACAGTATTATCTTTTTTTGTATTTTGAATTTTCAAAAACGGCTCTATGGTGCCCTCCGTTTTATTGTTTTGAACAACTGGTACTAATTTCAATGCTTTTCAAAAATCTCAACATTTTTCCGGAAAACCACTCAATGAAAAGTGTTGAAATTTGCACCTGTTGTTCAGGGCAATAAAATGTAAGGCACCACAGAGCCGGTTTTTTGGAAATTCCAAGTGCACAAAAATATAGAGTGATTAAAATTTTTGATGCACTATCGGTAAAAAATCACAAATAAGATAAATACGATTTAACATGGTTCAGGGAGCGGACATAGTAGTGTTTCCGGAATACTCGTTGACCAGCATCCCCAAGGACAAGGGCCAGGTGAAGGAGCGGCCCATGGACGACGCGGCCTTCCGCGCCTTCTTCCGCGACACGGCCTCGCGAGTGACCCCCTTCGAGGTAGACGCGATCATCTGCGCGAATGAGACCGACTACTACGCGAAATCCCTGAGAATGATATCGTGCTCCGCCCAGGCCAACCGCGTCTACGTCGTGGTCAATCACCTCGAGCGCGTCGACTGCGCCTCGAGCGACGAGGACTGTCCCAGCGACGGCTTCCTGCTCTACAACAGTCAGGTGGTGTTCGATCGGAGCGGTCGCGTCGTCGGCCACTACCGCAAGTACAATCTGTTCAACGAGCCCGGGGTCAACGTCACCGCCGAGCCCATGATCTGGGTCTTCGGCACGGACTTCGGCGTCACGTTCGGCACGTTCATCTGCTTCGACGTGCTGAACGAGCGGCCGGCCACGTGGTTCAAGCATCAGCCCCAGGTGGAGAACGTCGTCTACTCGACGCACTGGTTCAACGAGCACCCGTTCCATCACGCCATGCAGGCGTTCGGCTCCTACGCGTACGCGGCCGACGTTAACTTCCTCGTCTCGGGATACAGCGACGGCCCGACACAGAGCGGCGGTGAGTGTTCTGTCCAAAAAGAAGAAAAAAAGATTAGTTCGTGCGCCGGTGGCATTAAAAATTTAAAGCTGCTTTTAAGAAAAATGATAGTAAATACGAAAATTCGATAGGTATTGAACTACATGAACTTGTAACTGCATGAATTAAAAGATCAGCACATTACATATAATCTGTCACTATAAAATGACTTTTTCATTGTCTACATTTCCAGATGATGATTAATTTGCACTCGTCACACTTTCGAAAAAAATTAATTTGTAATACTCTTTCGCGTGAAGTAGTATTATCTAAAAAGAGTAATCTGAATAAATTACTCTTTTCTTGGCTCAGCATTTTTCGAAAAAAAATAATGTGTTCAAATTACTCTTTTATAAGTTCTTGCGTTTTAGTGAAAGAAGTAATCTGTGCGAATTACTCTTTTTCATAGAGTATTCTACGCACATTACTCTTCGGAGGTTCGAAAGTTACCCTTTTGGGTTTAGCGTTTGGAGACTTGAAACTTTTGACGACCATATAGTTATTATGAAAAGTTCTGTAAAAAATTGAGTACATTTCTTGATTAATTTCAAAACATTTTTGTTCTAAATTTAATTTAATATTTTTCAAAAAAAAAATACTCGTGTTCACATCACAAAATTGTTTCACATCAACTCGAAAGCTATTGAGTTTAAGAGAAAAGTTTATTAGTCATAATTAATTGTTCAAAGTCTACGTACAGTCGATACCTATCAAATTTTTGGACGCACTATCATTTTTTCAAAGCAACTTTCAATCGTCAGTACCGTCGTGCAAACGAATTTTTCTTTTCATTTTTACCACGACACCGGAAATTACAATCAAAAATTCCTGCAGGTTTCGGGGTATTCTACGGAACTCAAGACGTCCACCCAACCATAAATGTTCCCGTGACGAAAAACTCCCTGCTGGTCGCGAGAGTGCCCAAGACCAGGCGCGCCTCCCAGGCCTGCGGTCGAGTTCACGCAGCGACCGGTTTGTTGGCCCTCAAGGACTACATGCCTGGCGAGCTGCCGGTCGACACCGTATACAAGCTCGACTCCGAGGGCAAGCAGATCGAGAAGTTGCCGCTGCTCCACTTCCGCGAGGACATGAGCAAGTACAAGTCCCTGGTCGTGAAGCCCGACGAGGAGAATCGGGCGACGATCTGCCACAACGAGACCTGCTGCGATTTCCACGTGCACTGGCAGGTCTGGGACAAGCGGGCCGAGGCCATGGCTCGGGATCGGGATTACAAGACCTACACGTGAGTTTTGGTTGAAAAACAAAGAGAGAGACACGAAAATAAATGATAATATCGACGATATGATAACGATCCGCGACTCGCGCGCAGATATCGCATGGTGGCGTTCGACGGCGTACGCCCGTTCCACGACTTCATGGTGGCCGGCGTGCAGATCTGCGCCGTGGTGGCCTGCGCGGGCCCCGAGCTCGAGGACTGCAGCACCAGGTGGAACAGCTTCGACAACACCGTGCTCTATCCGTCGTCCTTCCGCGAGCTGAAGATCGACCTCAAGTTCCCGGCGGCGGACGAGCAGGGCGGCGCACCCGAGCGCAGCTCTTACGCGCCCACGACCTTCCGGGGCGTCACGGAGCGTTCCCTGGAGCCGTACGAGTACGAGTTCAAGCAGACGGAGGCGGGCGTCGGCATGGAGCTCGTCAATCGGCGCAACAGGGTCAGCATGGATCTGCTGACTTTCGGCATCTACGGACGGAGATTCGACAGGGACGTCGTTTACACGGAGAATCTCAAACACATGATCGAACCCGAGCAGCAGCAGCAACAGCAGCAGCACGACGATGGCAGCGGCGAGAAGGTGGAGTCACATTATTGCCATCAAGACGGTGTCGATGGTTGCATCGATGGTCGCTGATTTTTTGTTATCGGAATGTATCATAAAGATGATACTCTGAAACGAACGTAAAATGTTGTTATGTAAAATATAATAATGAAAAAAAAAAAAAATGAAAAAATAGATTAGCCGAAATAAACGTTTTTGTTTTCCATCAAGACGTTCATTCTCTCTCTTCGTCAAAACCGCGGCATACAAATACGTAACATTTGTCATTATAAATATTACATTTCCATCTCGAGCGTTCTCTCCCACACACATACACACAACACAAGAAGATGATGATAAAATTAGGTAACTCGCCGATTTGTTTTGGCTTGCCTATTGCGGCTGCGGCGCGTCACGATTTCCAAGAGGCGAAACACCGAACGATCCAAATGTTGCATTATACAGCGAGCACAGGATATATCTCCCGTATTAAATAGTTCCGCGAGCTGTATTACGTGCATACGTACACGTGCGATCGAAACAATTGCAAAACTGCTCGCTCGTATAGAAGAAGAAGAAGAAGAAGAAATCAAATCGGTGCACGTAGATGCAATAACGATCTCTCGGCGATGTTTTTGTACTCGTGGTGCAATAATTGTCCCGCGAGTGCAGGTAAAAAGCGCACATTGTGCAGCATAGTGCCGCTCGTCGTTACGTTCGAACGACGACCTTCGGACTCGATAATGAAAAAGCTGCTTGCGTCGCAAGGGCCGCCATGCGCAGGGGCAATACGCGTTACACTTGTGTGTGTACGTCGAGTAAAAAAAGATGGGCGAGTCTCGAGCTTGTTGCGCCTGTGACATCGTCTTACGGATGTACGAGCACGAAATTTTGTACCTGAGCAGCACAGAGAGATCATAAACGCAGATTATTTTTTCGCCAGCATCTAATACTGTGTTCGAGCTTGCGTCAATTCTATACTTCTTACAAATCTCGTTTTAATCAAAATTATGAATAATTCTGCTTGAATATAAACTTTGATTTTCTTTATATTTTCTTTTCCGCATTTACGACTACGATTGAAAGTTTCCAATGGGTCTTCGTATGTGCATCCTAGCGGATACGGGTGAAAATGTTACGTGGGTGTTTGTAAACAGCGCGAATTAAAGATATTTTGACGTCGTATACATAACGGCTAATTTGGTTTCATTCACTGGTAAATTTTTATTTCATTTTAATCATAACACTTTCAAAACCGGTTAAGCCGTGAAGCATCACTCATAGCGTAATGCAAAATGCAATAATAAAGTAATTATGCATTGAGTATGTTACTAATGGCTTTCGCACTAGTATAAACTCACCGTCTTGCGTGTTTAGTTCTTTAAAAAAAAAATTTGTAATTGTTAATGAATCACAACATTATAGTCGGGCAATAGTCATAAGAGCGATTGAAAATTCCTTCATGAATATGAGCATTGTGAAAATAAAGTATCTGAACGAAAGATGCAACAAAGAATCAAAGACGAGGATGTGCCTCGAGTTGTGGTGTATAGTAGGGTGTACCCCTTTTTTAAATATTTCGAATAAAAAGAATAAAATAAAATATATCTCAGGAGCCGAGTGAAAAACTGTAAGATGGTATATTTTTGCAGGTCTGTGCACAACATGGGTGCTGAAATCAAAAATTTTCAGCTCGGAGTAGCACGAGGCAAATAAATACTAATGTGGAAATGAAAAGCTTTGCGATTTTTTTTCTCCCATAAGAAGGGTTTAACGAAAAATTTTCTCTGAACAAAAAGTGCTTAATTTTGATCAAAGAATATGTGTGAATTTTTTCAGATTTTTTCGGACCATTTTTGGATTTTTGGCGTTCGTCAATATTTCCAAAAATCCAAAAATGGTCCGAAAAAATCTGAAAAAATTCACACATATTCTTTGATCAAAATTAAGCACTTTTTGTTCAGAGAAAATTTTTCGTTAAACCCTTCTTATGGGAGAAAAAAAATCGCAAAGCTTAATTAGTATTTATTTGCCTCGTGCTACTCCGAGCTGAAAATTTTTGATTTCAGCACCCATGTTGTGCACAGACCTGCAAAAATATACCATCTTACAGTTTTTCACTCGGCTCCTGAGATATATTTTATTTTATTCTTTTTATTCGAAATATTTAAAAAAGGGGTACACCCTAGTGTATAGTTAATATAATGGAAAACGTTAATTGATAACTGCGCGCTGACCGCTGACTGCAGTCATTCGAAACTAAACATAATTACTGCCAACTGCCCTGTGCGAGTTTTTCATTTTCTCAACATGTTCCGTATCTTTTTAAACGCTTAGCCGGCGTAGGGATACAATGTCAAAAAAATATAAAGTTGGTTGTAGTGTATCCGCGCATCGATGTATTGCGTGTATCAATATGGTTCGTTTGCTCGTCGCGCGTCTATTCTACAGGTACGCACAAAAGTGTGCCCATATAATGAAGACTGTTGTTTTAAACCACATAAACTTTGCATATCATACAGATATTATTTTAGTTTGTTTACACTCCACTGCAACAGCGGTGGGCAAGAACTAGGGATCAGATTAATCCCTATAAAAAAAGAAAATACATTTTTTCGGGTATTCATCAATTTTAACAATTAAAAAAATAAAAAATGAATTATTTAATAAAAAATTATTAATTGAATAATTTAATAAAAAATATATTTAAAAAAAAATGTCATGATATGATTGATTATATTTTCCATCAATTTGGGCAAAAATTGTTCATTTTGATTGATGCTTTAATTGTTGCTTCCTTTGATGCTTGATTCTCACTCTGTCCTCCTTTTCTTGATCCTGATATATTAATTGCAGATCTTTTGCAAGTTTAAGGGCCCTATCTGCCATATATTTTATTTGACTTGTTTCACAATTGTATGCGTCAACTTTTGCAAGATCTTTTGCAAGATCTTTTGCAAAATTTTTTGCTCCGCTTAGAATGCATACCTTACAAGGACCACCTCCTTGGCGAATACGAAGCTCCAATATAGATCCTTCCTCAATATCTTCATCTTGTAATGTCAGCCCTTCCGTTCTAAATAAGGAAAATTTCATCAATCACATGGTATTGGATGTTCATTTTTTTAATACATGAATAAAACACATACAGTAGTCTTCCATCAAATAGAATTCTTTGCTTATCACCTCGAATACCTTCTTCCTCTTCAATATTTTCCATGATCTTTTCAACTGTGTCTGTGGGCTCAACGTCCATTTCAAACTAAACAAAAAATTACATCATTTATTTACATTCCATCCGTTACTAAATCTATGTTCTATTCAGTTGCAATAAAAAGCGGATGAATAATTATAATAATAATTATAATAATAATGTTGATGAATTCTAAGTATTTCTTTTATCCTACTTTGTGTAAAAGAATATTACATATAGAATGGAATTAATATATAATAGTAGGAAAACTCATTGCTTGTGATGTTCAAAATAAATATTTCGGACTTAATTTAAAACAATGGGATTTACAGCTCATTCGCTTATTTATTTTTATCTCAGTTTGATCAAAAACTTTCAAAAACGCGCCACAGAGCATCACTTGTAGCGTAATGCACAGTAACAAAATTCACGTCACTTCTGCGTGAATTAAAATTAAAATTAAAATAACTCATCATTGACAGTTATAGGCATTACTGAATTTCGCGCTCGTTGGTTAGGATTAGAATATTGTAAAAACTCACCGTCGTCCCAACTATGGTCTGGAAAACAAAGTTTTGTATTTGGTCATTAATTGTAACTAAATGGGGAAATAGTATTAAGAACGATTACAAGTACCTGTATGAATATACGCATTGCGACAAAAAAGTATCCGAACAAAAGATGCAACAAAGGATCCAGGCAAAAAAATAATACTGTTGCAAAAATAAACGGTGGCCAGTGGACACTGGATACCGTGATGTGAAGGCTGAGGCGTGAATTGACGATAACCCAGCGCTGTCAGCACTCAGCAGTCAGCAGTCATCGGAAGCTAAACTTTCAGCCATTTCAGCCAACTGGCGCCACAGCTATAATGATTTGAAGCTGGTTCGCAATATGTGCTTCTCGTTATAAGGAATATTGCATTCTCTAATCACGCTACATTTTTCGACACGCGCGCTCAAACATTTAATTGAATTATTAATGTACGTAATATCAAAGTCATGAAAAAAATACGTCGTAAGTTTGAGCACGTACGTGTAATGTATGATGACTGTAGGATTCATGTACTTGTCTTTGCGTGACTCGTTCATATAGACATTAGACACGCGCCTACTATGCGTTACCATAAATCTGTGCGTTGTATGTTGTGCGCAATGCATATTGTTTCATGTGTTTAATTAGTGTTTTACTTCAAATAGATAGGAGTTAAGTCTGTTCACTGCAGCAGCATCTTTTTAATGTGACATAATATAATAATATGCAATATGCTAATATAAATTTAGTTTGTCCACTGCCATATTATCTAGAGATTAGAGAAATGGATAGGTTTTTATTATGGGTAAAAAATAATACATTCTTTTAAATATTCATTAAATTTTTAATAATTATAAAAAAATTCTTTATTTTGACTTGTGTTTCAGACTCATGATCTTTGCTCTAAGCTTTGCCATTTGCTTGCATTTTAATTCATCTTGATATGTATCGAAATTGGCCCATATTTCAAGTCTTTCTGCAAGACTTCTGGCCTTATCTGCCATGTATTTCATTTGATAAGCTTCAAGGTCTTTAGCAAGCTCATGTGCCATTCTTCTGAAGCACACATGACAAGGACCTCCATGGCGAGGGATTAAAAAGACTACAGATCCCTCCTGAATATTGTAATCTTTCAACGCTTTATGATCCTCCCTAAGTAAGAAAGATCCATCAATCACATAGTATTGTATAAATAATTTTTTAATACAATGAATAAAATACTTACAACTGCCTTCCACAAAAGATAAGTCTTTGTCTATCGACTGGAGTACCATCGTCCTCTTCAATATTCTCCTTAATTTTTTCCACTGTATCTGTAGGTTCCAGATCCATTTCATATTCAAAATTTATCTGTAGAATTAATACATAATATTAAAGCAATACGCATTGCTTAAAATTTTCAAAACAAATATTCAAGATGAAACGCATTATAGATTATTAATAAATATATTGATCATAACACTTATAAAATTAGTTCATCCGTGTAGAGTACCAAAATTTTACATGAAATAAAATAATTTATCATGGACAGTTGAGCGTTACCGACTTTCGGGCTCGCAGACGTTTTATTTATAAAATTACAGCAACTCACCACGGTCCATATTGGCCCCTGTCCATTAATTTGATTGAGAAAGTCCTTCATCTGTGAATCAAAGTTTTATGTTTGTTAATCAATTGCGACATACTTTATAGTCGGGCAAAAAAAAAAATTAGTCATTACAGCGATTAGACGTACCTTTACTAAAAAATGCATTACAACAAGACAGATTAGTATATTCCGAACAAAAGAAGCAACAACAAACGATGACGATTGACGAGTATGTATGACTATTAGCCGGACACTGGGCAGTTGAACACCGTACATGAACTGTGAGGAAAAAATTCGCGATAACTGCGCTCGAGTCGCTAACGACAATCATCTGAAACTGAACTTCCTGCCAGTTCATTGGCGCCATTGCTCGTCAGGTGGAGCACAACATGGGCTTCTCGATCCAACGGAAAGTTGGGCTCGTTTTTTTACAGTCACGAATCAAATATCTGTTCTGACTCTCGAAGTTTTGCAATATCAAATGTAAAATTAATGAAAGTTTGAATGTTTTTGTTTTCATTGTCAGTTCAGTAATACTTGCAAATTGAAATACTTAAAAACAATAATTCCTTTAAGTTTATAATTCGTTTGTCTTAAGGAGGTACCTCCGCTCAAAATTTACCGAAGAGATTCGACTCAAACTTCGTACACTAATCCTTTTTAATGATACAAATGAACTTGCAAAATTGTATGCAAGTTCAGTACTTCGTTTAGAAGATATTCGTATTTCAATTTAACATTGAGTCGAATGAGAAAGTCAGTTACAAGAGAATATTTCAAAATTTACCGAAAAGATTCGAGTAAAATTTTATGTGTATCATAATTAACTACCAAAGAACGTACGGTTAAATTTTCGTAGACATTGGATACCTTTTTAATGCTCAATTAATTAATAATAATTTATTGACACTAATCTCGGGACATTTGACCAGAATTTCGCCGGCGGGAGCGGATGACATAACCTAACATTTTTGAATTTCTCAGCGAAACGCAAATATCTTATATTATTTATAACGAAGACTATAATGACCGATCATTGATAGAAATTCAAAATTAAATAAATAATGGGTTGTTTAATTTTATATCAATAATGTTTTATGCAATATAAACATTTTTTTTTATAAAATATGATTGAAAAATAACAAAATTTTACAAGTTTAATTATAAACTTCTTGAGATTAACGACACCAGCCGAGCAGTAAAAATATTGAGTTTTTCACAGTTGGTAGTTCTGCTCGGAGGTACCTCCTTAATATCGAAAAATTGGACTGACTCGGAAATGTTTGTCATTGCTACAGCAAAAATGAATGAGGTTTAATGTCTTTATTTCATAATCCGTTAAGTATCCTTTATGATCAGAAATAATTATCTTTTAGCATTATAGGTATCAATTTTTATTCATATCAAAGAACTTTTTTTGTCTAGAAAATTCAGATTATGCTTTAAAAATTTGGGAAGTTCCTATAATAATTTTTAAAATGCAATTCGGGTATTTCTCTTTGGACCTGCCAAGGCAATTTTGGCTTTTGTTTAAATTTGGATTTTGCCGGTAACATCTCGAAAAAAGTCTAGTAGTGTAGTTCTAATCGAAAAATGAGATTTGCTTTACATCAGGCCGAGTAATTTTCAGAGAGGAATTCCGATGAAAGCTAAGGAAAATATGAAGGGCTAAAGTCAATTTGCCCAGCCGCTCGACGGCCCTGCTACACGGTTTTCAGTGTTGCGCGGCTCGCTATTATCAAAACTCGCTCATATCAAGTAATTCAGCTGAAAAAATAATTGAAAATATGCTTTCAATAGGAACTTTTCTCAGATTTCTAAAGGTGCAATCAGACTTTCCGATAATTTGAATTTCCTCGCAAAAAATGAAAAGTAAATTTTAAAGTTCATTTTTCCATGTTACGTTTTTCGAGATATTGCACTTTGAATGTTCAAAGTGATTTAGTCAACAAATGACTCTTTTCCAAATCTAATTCAAATTTAAAAAATTAAGAAATCACCTTAGGACGCGGGTCGGAAGATAGTCCATGAGGGTCGGAGAGATTACGTATGTGACAAATGTGAGAAGAAATTTGGAAAAAAAGTTCATTTGTTCCTGCACACCAGAACAGTACACGAGGGTCGCAAAGATTACGGATGCGACAAGTGTGAGAAGAAATTTGGACATAAATTTACTTTGATCAGACACCAAAAGGCAGCCCATGAAGGTCGTAAAGATTATGTATGTGACAAATGTGAGAAAAAATTTGGAAAAAAATCTCATTTGTTCGTGCACACAAGAACAGTCCATGAGGGTCGCGAAGATTACGCATACCACAATTTCAAGAAGAAATAATGATTGACAATTGAAAATAAGTATTGGAACTAAGACATATTTTTTTTTCTAAAACTTCAATAAAAATTTTGTCGATATGATTGTGTATTACTTTTGCAACTATTATCACATCTTTGTACACTGACGTTGAGATTATTTCAAATTTCATGTATTCCTAATTACTGCTCAGTTTTTAGGTACTTGGTACCTAGCTTTTCATGCAACGTCGATTAGCCAAAAGTTTTTTTTATGAATGAAAATCTGAATGGAGGCAAGCAATGGGGCAATCCCGAATCGATGTAACATGCACTGTTGAGAGATTTTGATAAATTAGACGAAGGACTGAATAGTTACGATAAAAAAGAGGTGATCGGTAACAACAATATATCCTGCCGCAAAAAACCAATATGGAAACCGTTTCATTAAATTTAAACTTAATAATATTTCCTAAATTTCTTAGCAATTAGTAAAAGCTTTCATAATAGTATTCAAATGGCGTGAGCGGTAAACGAAAGTTGGACAAGAAAGGGGATGGCACTTTTTTTTAATCCGCCACTAATCCCGACTCATTTAAAATAACCGATTTTCATATCATCAGTCTATGTGTGTATGTGTGTGTATGTACTTTTGTTGTTATGGAACCAGTCTAAAATTCGAACGAAAGCACGTATTGAGACGTGGTTGGGCTACTTTTTTAGGATTTGCGTGTAGCAAAAAGCATCAACTATTTAAAAAGTTATGAATATTTTTATCGTTCAGTTTATTTTTTTATTGTCGTTTTTTTCCAAATACGTAAATTTTTGTTACTCCGCCTTTTTTATAAACTAGATATGGTTTATAGTGAATCACAGTCGCATACGAGATTACAAATATTTTCGAGCACATATGTACGGGAACTGCACCGAGTCGGATTAGGCAAGTTGAGTAATGAATATTGTTTCTCGTTGATATTTTGCTTTGTAGTTTGAAGGAATATTTTCAATTGCATGGTCATTATTATACGAGAATTTTCTGAAGGCGTGCTTAAAATGTTTCATTTTCGCTTGGCTTTGTTATAGGCTATACAGTTAATTAATTCAATATGTTCATAAAATGTTATCGCAAAATGATTTTCTTGCCCTGATCGATTTGCTGAAAAATAATCCATTAAAAAAAGTTGACTTGAGATATTTATAGCATAACTTTATTCGAGGAAGAGGTATACAGCGTATGAAATATTAACGGAAAAAGTTGTACGCCATTAGACTCGACGAAAAATCCGCCAGTAAATGTAAAAAAAAACACATTAGCTAATTTTTTTGATGAAGTTATATTGTTAACATATAATATCAATAAGCAGATTTAAAATTAAATTTTTAAGATCCGATGTGCGAGCTCACTGCTATGCTTGTGACTCCCTTTCAAACGCTCTAATGTGACTTTGATTGATAATTACTATTTTCACGTCTTATTATGAGGTGTTTCTTATTGTTTCGATGATAATTAACATTTGTTAAATTGATCTTACTCTATTAGCTGTTTATCTTTACAAAATTATCTTGAGAAAATTTCATTATCTATTTTACATAACGACTGTATGTCTTTTTAAGCACCATATTAATATGTTTGAAAAGATTTGGTTTTGAACCTAATGCCAAAGATAACATTTTTGTTTGAAAATTTTGTAGCGAGGCTCTTATTCTTCATGCTCTGTCTTTACGTGCTTTAAGAGATTAGTTTTCTTTCCAAATGTTTTATGACATATTCCACATTCATGTTGCTTCAGTTTTTCATGCACTACATTGACATGTATCTCAAGGTGTTGTTTTCGTCCGAATGTTTTATGACACACATCACATTCATACGGTTTTAACTTTTCGTGTACTGTTTTTACATGCTTTAGAAGATTAGTTTTGTCTCCAAATGTTTTGTGACATGTTTTACATTCATGAGGCTTCAATTTTTTATGCACTGCATCAATATGTATCTTGAGATCATTTTTTTGTCCAAATGATTTATGACATATTCCACATTCATAAGGCTTTACTTTTTCATGCACTACGTTGACATGATTCTCAAGGAGATTTTTTCGTGCGAATGTTTTGTGACATATATCACATTCATACGGTTTTAACTTTTCGTGTACTGTTTTTACATGCTTTAGAAGATTAGTTTTAAAAACGAATATTATGTGACATATTTTGCATTCATACAGTTTTAACATTTCATGCGAGATATCAAAAGGCTTTCCGCAATGTTTGAGTCTGAATGATTTAATACACTCGTGACCTTTTTTCACATTAACGTTGATATTGGACCCTTTGATCTTTGCGCATCTTTGTATCATTCGATTTCTGTAATTATTAATCTGTAAAATGGTAATATAGAATTAAGAAGATGATATATTTTTACCTGATCAAGACAACTTACGGCACGATTACGTCGAAGCACGATGTTGTAATTGGTATGAGCGTTTGAAGTTAAATCGTTTAACTCAATCCTGTAAACATTTTAAATAATCAACAATTTAATTTTAATATGATCAGGGCAGTATAGGATAATGTGTTTTGGTCAAGAGTATTTTGCATTTTAATTGAGTATAAACTTTTTTATGTTTAATCAATGAGAAACAAATTATGGTCTAAAAGAGAGGTTATGTTTATTTTCATTTTAAAGGATTAATTTATGATCAATAAAGGACTTAAAAAAGAAAGTTGAGCTGATTGACAAATTTCACTAGTCACTCTACTTACTTGATTCAAGTTTGAATTTCAAATTGCTTTACCACAATTTTAGAATGTCGTGGATCAATCTATGCTGATAGCAATTAATTCCAATATTTCAATTGTCACAATCGGACGGCAATTATTATTTTATAATTTTTGGATTATTTTGTCTATCAAATAAGTTGGAAACATTATTTCTGGAAAAATTCGTGGTACAGAAAGGAGTAAACTAAAACTTCTTCTATGGCGTAAAATCACAAACTGTTTGGAAGACACTGCTCGCGAACCTACTCGTACTACACCTACTCGTGCTGTTGTTTACGTCGTGCGTCGCATGCGTTGTCTTCGTTCTTTGCTACGGCCTTTTAAAATACATGGGTCATTCCGCACATGAAAAAATATTATTTCTAAGAATAAAAAATTAAAATAAATTCAGAAAATGGTTTCCTTTTTGCACGTATCAATCGAGAATATCACTACTTTCATTCATCATTCAAATGTGAGTCTAATTTTTCTGGCTTTAAATTTTCCACGTTGAACATAATGAAGATATACGAAAGCTTCGAGGCAAAGATGGAAAATGAGCCTCGGTACATTAAGGGTATAAAGAGCGAGGGCTCGAAAAACCGCATTTAATTCTGAAAATAGCACGTCGACCAAAAAAAAATAAAGAAAAAGAAGAAAATAACGAGAGAGTTGGAGTTGTAATCGGACGCCTCGGCGAATCCTGCGGCTGCAGCGCAAGAGAAAAATAAAACGAGACGAAAAAAAACAACGAGGAAGCAAAAAATGAGCAACGAAGGATCAGCCGGCGTACGCGTTGAGAAGAAGAAGAAGTAGAAGGAAAAAAATCAAGACCGCGCGCGATGTATAAATACGTAAACGTAAAACCGCACTCGCGGAGGGGAAAAATATTATATGTAACTGGCTCTCTAGCGCTGATGAGAGCTCGAGCGACGACGACGGCGATGATCCTTTCCCGCGCGCAGGCGAACGAAAAACGACGACGAAAAAGCAGCAGCAGCAATAACAAAAAAGAAGTATAAGTAAGAATCTCGTCGCGAGTACTGACTGGTACATAGAGCTCAAACATTGTATAGTCTCGCCGGCACTCTGTAATGTACTTATGTACTATAGATCCTTGGCGCAGCATAAACCGCGTGTGCAGTCGCGATCGCGCTGAGACTGCGTCTATATGTATAGTTGGCCTATCGGTAGAGAGGTGTGTGCATGAGTTTGCTACCATCAACCTATACCTAAGTATATGGCCAGGTCTAGATAAAATAATTGAATGACCTGAAGGAATTGTTTTTTTTTCCATCCCTCCGGCAAAAGTATTTACTTTCGCCGTACGCGTAGCCTAGAAAAAGAAATACTTTTACCCACTTCTGCGAGTCCGACAGATGCAGTGGTTGCTGTGGCTAGCTCAGCCTAGCAACGTAATAATATTTATAATTTTATCGTCCGTATTACTTAGCCAACAACTGGTCGGAGACTCATCAATACGTAGAGACGTTATAATAATTACGTGGTAAAAATTATGCAGAGTCCTGAAATATTATTCGCGGATGATTGTATGTCCACGGACGAGGAAGAATGTTGTGTGTAATTTTTTACACACAAGTCAAAATGATAAAATGTTTTTTATAATAATGTTATTGACGGAAGTTTCATTTCTCCCCCTTGTAAGAAAATCTACTATGAAAATATTCTTTCTATAGGAAATTTTCTCAGATTTCTAAAGGTGCAATCAGACTTTCCGATAATTTGAATTTCCTCGCAAAAAATGAAAAGTAAATTTTAAAGTTCATTTTTCCATGTTACGTTTTTCGAGATATTGCACTTTGAATGTTTAAAGTGATTGAGTCAAAAAATGACTCTTTTCCAAATCTCATTCAAATTTAAAAAATTAAGAAAGCACCTTAGGACGCGGGTCGGATTTTTTAAATGAGCTCAAATTTCAGATCTTTTACCTTCAGACCTTTGAAAGGGACCTTTGAAGACTCGATGTTGTCTGTCGGGAGTTTTTTCTAGTACTTGGTTCCAGAAGACCCAAAAATTCTTCGACGGAATAGTCACCCAGTAGAAATTCAAAATTATTTCAAATGTTGTAAGAATAATGTATAAACAGATGAATTGATGCCTTCATTGTAAACAATATATTTATAAACGATTTTGATAAAGTCACTACACATACTGATCATGTTAACAAATTAGTTTGAATGTTGCCTTTCCAGATGAAACAAACCATAATACCACTCATTTGATTTCTAACGTTCTACATACAAGGATCCAACGATTATTTTAGGCTCTAAAATGGATAAGAGTGAGAAGAAATCCGAGGAAGTTGTCTTGGAAAATAATTTAAGTGGACACGACATTGTTGTTTCAGACAACAAACAAAACGTAGATAATATTTGTGAGGAGGCATTTACGCTAGAATCGAGCATGATAACATATCAAGACAAGATTCACAATGAACGAAAAAATTACGCATGCGACAAGTGCGAAAAGACATTTGAGTTCAGAAGTCATTTGAGTAGACACCAAATATCTGAACACAAAGGCCGCAAAGATTTTGCATGCGACAAATGTGCGAAGAAATTTGTGAAGAAATCGAGTTTGTTTACACACCAAAAATTAGTACACAAAGATCACAAAGATTTGATGTGTAACAAGTGCGACAGAAAATTTGAAAATAAATCAACTTTACTCAAACATAAAAAAATATTCCACGAAGTTTTCAAAAATTATTTATGTGAAATGTGCGCAAAGAGATTTGATACTAAACTCAGTTTGCTCTTGCATATAAAGACGGTACACGACAATCGTAAAAATTGTGTAAGCGACAAGCGCGAAAAAAATTTTGAATTTAAATTAGAATTGTTGAAGCACCAATCGACAGTGCACGAAGGTCAAAAAGATTACGCATGCGACCAGTGCGATAGTAAATTTGGATTGAAATCGTCTTTGCTCATACACAAAAAGACAGTGCATGAAGGTCGCAAAGATTATGCGTGCCACAAGTGTGACAAACAATTTGGACAAAAACCGCATTTGTTTATACACCAAAAAACAGTCCATGAAGGTCGCAAAGATCACGCATGCAACCAGTGCGAGAAGAAATTTGGACATAAGTCAGTTTTGTTGAAACACCAAAGGACAGTCCACGAATGTCGGAAAGATTTTGTATGTGATAAGTGCGAGAAGAAATTTGGACTGAAATCGAATTTATGGAAACATCAAAAAACAGTTCACGACGGTTGCAAAGATTACGGATGCGACAAGTGTGAGAAGAAATTTGGATATAAATGGCATTTGGTCTCTCATCAAAAAACAGTCCATGAAGGTCGTAAAGATTTCGCATGCGACAAGTGCGAGAAGAAATTTGGACGACAATCACGTTTGCTTATACACCAAAAAACAGTCCACGAAGGTTCGAAAGATTATGTATGTGGTAAATGCGAAAAAAAATTTGAACTGAAATCGAATTTATTGAAACATCAAAAAACAGTTCATGACGGTCGCAAAGATTATACATGCGGAAGGTGCGAAAAAAAATTCAAACATAATTTTACTCTGCTCTTGCACGTGAAAACACTCCACGAAGGCCGGAAAGATTACACATGTGACAAGTGTGAGAAGAAATTCGGACGAAAACCATATTTGCTTTTCCACCAAAGGACAGTCCACGAAGGTCGCAAAGATTTCGAATGCGACTATTGCAAGGAGAAATTTGGACTAAAAATACATTTAGTCAGACATCAAAACACAGTGCACGAAGGTCGTAAAGATTTCGCATGCGAAATGTGTGAGAAGAAATTTGGATTAAAAACAAATTTAGTCAGGCACCAAAAAGCAGTACACTAAGGACGTAAAGATTATGCATGCGACATTTGTGAAAAGAAATTCGGGAAACAAATTAATTTGAAACAACACCAAAAAACAGTCCATGAGGGTCGCGAAGATTACGCATACCACAATTTCAAGAAAAAATAATGATTGACAATTGAAAATAAGTTTTGGAACTGAGACATATGTTTTTTTCTAAAACTTCAATAAAAATTTTGCCGATATGATTGTGTATTACTTTTGCAACTATTATCACATCTTTGTACACCGATGTTGTGATTATTTCATATTTCATGTACTCCTAATTACTGTTCATTTTTGTATACTTGGTTCCTAACTTTTCATGCAAAGTTGATTAGCCAAGAGTTGTTATGAATAAAAATTTGAATGGGCGCAAGCATTCAGTTGCAACGGGGCAATCCCGAATCGATCAAACATGCCTTATTGAGAGATTTTGATCAATTAGACGAAAGACTGGTACCTACTGAATTTACATTTTCAGAGTTCGGTCGGTAAAAAACGAAGCTTCGGCCTCATCTTAAATTAACGTCGACGGCAAGGGTTCACATTTTTTTTTACAAAACTTAGGGGCTTCCAAGTACTTGTGCAAAAGAATGATTTGCGATTTCATCGATTGCTGTGTGCCTATCAATGGAGCATTCTGCCTTACAACTTTTTAATAATCAATTTTTTGTTTTTGCCTTTTGGAATACTTTCAAAAATAACCTATTAAAATTGAATACAGAATTAGAATTTCAAGTCAGCTCAAATTCAATTATCCTCGCGGATCAGTTCAAAATCCGTGGCGATTGCATTTTTTTCAAACGATGATCGATCCACGCGGAATCCCTGTATAATCCACGTGGATATCCATGCAATTATTTTCAACTGGGAAAATATTTAAATTTAAAAAATTTAATGTTTTAAATTTTTCAACTTACTCGAAAAACTTCTTGAAAAAGTCCTTCAATACACTTCTGATAAATAATTGCTTGTTACAATAAGCTAGCTTATATGCCAGCAGCCTCACTTGCTCTCATGCGAGAACTGTAGCGGCTTGCGTAGACGCCACCTAGAGTCAGATAAACTAAATATTGCCTCAACCCATTAAAGCCCTAAATGACGAAATTTTTCGTTCGAAAAGTTGATTTTTCGCACAAAATTTTTCGTTTTTTTGTTTTAACAATCATAACTTTTTTTACAACGCATCAAATCTCAAATTTGAGCCCGGATTTTGAAAGGACATTAAATTTTATATTAAAATAGGTATGAGGAGTTTTTTCAAGGTCTAAAAGATAAAAAAAAATCACCTCGATTTCAAACGAAAAATTTCGTCACTTTAGGCATCAATGAGTAAATTAAATTAAAGTTTTATTTTATATATTCATCTATTCGTTCTGAACAATTGTACATTTTTAGAAATCGTCCAGCACAAGTAAATAATCTTGTATTACAACAAGTAGTCAATATTGATGCTCTGAGACAACAAATGCAACAGCCAGTGAATAATAGTGAAAATACGATAAGTGATGACTATAACTTTTTTATCAGCTTCATACCTCATGTAAAAAACAAGTTTAACTCAGAAACTGAACTTTCGAATTCGGATCCAACAGATTATCTTAAATGAAATAAGTAATAGTCATGATCCTGTGGCAAACTGAACAGCTTCAGTTAATAAAATCCAAAAGCAATCAATAGGTTAAAAATATTTGCTGCTTGTTAATAGTAAAGACTTTACTGTTCGAATTTACTATTTAAGAATGTTGTTAAGGAATAGTTTTTTTTTATTTTAGATGCCTTGCGCGTTAGAAAATTTTGATCGATGAAAATGATCCTATCTTTGAGAAAAAAGTCGAGTTATAATCAAGACTTTCGTCACCAGAAAAAATTACAATTTATATTCAAAGTTTTGTAATAAGTTTTCGAAAAAAATTCCAATACAGCTAAAAGTAGCCCTTTTTTAAACTCGTGAATTTTTCCTAACTGTCAGATTCGGAGTCTCAATACAAAAATTTGCAATGTATCAGTTGACATTGAAAGAAAAAACAATCCATTTTTCAACGATGGTTCTATGATTCTTACTGGTAATCTCCGAAAACTCTTTTGGAATGTTTTACTCTGAAAATTTGGCCAATCAGCAGTAAAAAAAGCTCTCTTGCCCTTTTTCGCCAAATTCACTCCTTGTAATTGTGCTTGGAACTTCTTTACTATCAATCCCAAAAATTCGAACGAAATTTGAATAAAATACTAAAATCAATAACGATTTTTTCATTCCTGCAAAAAAATTCTTTTTCGTTACAATCGATTTCGCTGAGAATCAGTCATCTATACCTATATATCTGTATATAAGCCCGAGCGCGGCAGCGGCAGTCTCAGGGAGTCGTTGGAGCGCGCGAGCGAAGAGAGGGAAATACAGGCAGAGAGTGTAACGTTCTCCGGGTTGGTGTGCCGTGCGCTATGCCGTGTGCTGTTCTGTTTGGCAATATATAGGTATAGGTATATAGTTTCTGCCGTCCAGCGAAATAGTTATATGCGCGACTCTACTCTGCTGCCGCTGCCGCCGACGCCGCAGCCGTGGCTGACGACTATATGTATACAGCGAGCAGAGTTGATTCGGAGTTTCGCGATTGCCGAAGTCGCGTCGCGCCGCCAGTTCGAGCCTCGCGAGCACAGCGAGTGCAGCAGTCGATCCAAGCTCCGTCTGTGTGTGTTTTGTGTTGTGTTTCGCGCGTGCTGTGTGCTTGTGTTGTGTCTGCCTCGCGCGTATATATATTTTATATATATAATGCCGAGGAGAAGGAGAAAACAGACATGAAGGTTCTGCTGTTGCTCGCTCCTTTTTAGCATACCTGCAATATATACTATACACACACACACGAGTAAGCTCGTCTGTTCGAATGAGAGATAAATAGTCAAAAAAACGTGAAAAAAAAGACGAGCGAACGAGCAAAAAATAAAGAAAGGAAACAAACTAGTGCGCTTTTATTTTGTTTCAAATGATTCAGTGTCGATTTGTGTCCATACGTGCTTTTTTAAGTTTCTTGTGATCGTTGCGAAACAAGTGTCCGCCGCATTGTTATATGCATAGTTTCTGCCTGTGTCTCTCCGTGTATGTGTGTTGTGAGTGTGCTGCAGCAGAGCAGTGTGCAGCGAGAGAGGAGGTTAGATCGCGAAGTTGCGATTTAACGGAATAGAAAAAAAGTACACGACAACGGAGTGCACGAGCACGTCTCGGCAAGGATGCACGGAACGGCGTCGAGAGGACGTTCGCGCTCGACGCGCGCGATCATCGCCACAGGTTGGTTTAAAAAAATTCCCCCAAAACAAAAAAAATCGTCATCGTGTCGTTTACAATACGCGTACTTACGCGCGCATTCGATAAATCGGTGCGCGCTATCGTTCGATCTTCGCGAGCGAGTTACCGTTTCGAACTTTTTCGAAAAAGCATATATAAAAAAAGGAGGAACGGAGAAGAGGAGAAAAGAGCGACTATACCCGCGAATCTCTCGTGTAAATGTATAAGCGAGTGAGTGTAAGTGTGTGTGTGCGAGAGCACGCGAGAGTCTCGAAAAACCTGTTTTATACGTCAGTGTTATAATAACGCGCGCGAGCTTATGAGCGAGGATCAGCGAACGAGACTCCGAACTCCGAACGTACACACACACATATATACAAACACGAAGCTGACGTACACACGTATTACTACAATACTCTCGCGTCTCTCTCTCTTTCTGCGTTAGTCCTCATGCCGCTGTTATTCTATGAAAAGTCTCGGGTCTCGAAAAACCGTTTCTAATGTACGCAGCGCGCGGCGGCGACTTACTCGCGGGCATGCCGTGAATCGCCAAGTTCGTCCCGCAAGATGCCCAATGGATTTATTGTATAATATTCAACGAAAACGCAAGCCTCGAGAGAGCCAACGTTTAGTGAATTATCAATTATTATGTATCTTTTGATATAATATATAATATAATATCCCGACGAGATGAGAAAAGCCGCCGAACGTGTGTCGTCGTTTCTCGTAATACACACATAAGCAGATGAGATGCGAGCCTGCCTATACGTTGCACGCTATATGTGTACCCTTTTTCTCGTTCCTTGACCCGATACACCTCGGTTGCGCCAAACGAACTCTCTCTCGCTCTCTCGACTCAAGGTTCGCCTACGCCGCGCGCGAGCAAATATTTTTTCCCTCCTTCTCTATACTCTCTTCGTCGTCGTCGTCGTCGTCGTCGTCGTCGTCCTCGACGTCGTTTTCTTCTCTCTCTCTCTCTCTCTCTCTCTCTTGCTTCCTTTTGTATTTAGCTGCACAGCCTGTACCTACGTATATTATAATACTGCAAAAGCCGGTACGGTCTTTCCTGAAAAATGTGTGTGTATATATTTTACCTTAACACACGACGGAGAGGATTTTTGAAACGCGCAGCACCGCGTTAACTTATATAAATACACATGGAAGATAGTCCTCCGGTGCATGCTGCTGCTGCAGCATGGGATTTTTTCCCGAGCGTGGGACGCGCGTGTATACATTGTCTCTCTCTCTTTTCTCTCGTGCACACACAAACACAGACACAAGGTGCCTTGTAATTCTGTGCGCGACTGCAACTAGGCACTTTCGTAAAAAAAAGCTCCCTGACACTCGGCCGCTTCATAATAAACAATGAACATTTTTATCGTAATCTTTTTTTTTTTGTACTTTTTAATTTTTTCCATCCCAAAACTCCGCTTTCTACGACGATCGAGCGGGCTCGCGAGTCCGCGCGTTATAAATATACTCCGTGCTACAAAAGTGCCTATACACCTTTAGCTATAATAACGACGATGATTTTTTTCGTCATTTCATCTCGATCGCGCAAGGCGATTTATTATCGCGCTCGCGCGCTTCGCTTTCGATCCCGTGTATACTACAATACTGTGCCAAGTAACACTGCATTGTGTTGTCGTCGTATACCGCTCTTTCTCTCTGCTGCTACACACGATGCACGTGTACATAATAAATATAATACACACACACGGATGATACGCGGCTATATGCGCGCGTCCGTGTACACGATACATTTTAACAGCAGCAGGCATCGGACTCCGAGCTATATACACATTATCGTCGTAATTGCCATCGGGCTCTTTGACACTGCAGCGTCGGGCATAATACACGCGATTAGATTACGCACGCACGCGTCTTCTGAGCTCGTCTGTGTATACTCATCCTTTTTTAAGTGGAATCAATGTATTGTATGTCTCTAACGTGGCTCTTCACCAACACATCTGCCGTATAACGCTACATCGACGACTACATCGAGTGTGTTGTGCATCGCGTGCAATACTATCACGATGACCCTCGGACCTGCCAGACCGGGGTTTGTTGTGAAAATGGGCATCCTCGCGTTTCTTTAGTAACGCCACTCGCTACAGCTGGACGGCCAATATGCCGCATAATACATATAGACATCACATTCTCTTTACGTCTATATTTTACAATCCATGATTGATAAAAATTTCTTCTTCTTCTCCTCTCGAGAAATTCCATCGTGCTCCGACGAGACGCGTCGTCACCTAATTGTGAAATCGATCTTCTCTTTAACCAATCGAAACATATTTTGCTACCGAGCCTTCGTCAAATTTTTGATTTTTACGATTGAATAAATTTGTTATTTTTTTTCTCCGTGTCTCCTTTCACATTCCTCGGTACGGCGCGACGCGAGCCAATGTATCGCGAAGAGCGAATTATCTAACGGGCTCACACGACGTGACGTCGAATACGAACGGAAGCATTTGATTATATTTTGGAAACTGCAGCATTGACTTCCCCTCCAATCGCGATTATATGCGACGACACACGCGTGACTTTTATATGTACGAATTAAAGTACATCCAACGATGACACCTTTCGACGTACAGAAAGAAAATCATCGCTCGTCGAAAGTCTTAATAATAATGATGCGGCTAAAATAGAGACATTAGCCGCCTTAATTACTTATACTGAATCAGCGCGATTGGGTGCGCGATCGCGAGCAGTCAGCAGCGTCTATTGCTTCGCTCATTTTTATACATTTAAGTATACGAAAGAATATGAAAGGAAAAATCTCGACTTCCGAAAAAGAGAGAAACATAATACGGCGGTTTTCTTTCTCCGTCCTTCTCGTTTACTTTTGATACTCTTTATTCGTACGATGAGGCAGCACAACTGTATAACTCGGCTTTTGAGCGCGCAGGTTCTTCTTCTGCGCGCGTGAGAATCACCTGACGCTCGTTCAGTGTATACATATATAGCTGGCTCATCAAACAGCAGCAGCAGGCAGCATGAGGCATGAGCGTCCGCCCGGCTGAATTGTGTTTGGCCTCGCACTTACTCATATTATTATTCCTCTACAATATACGTGCTCCCGCAGGCCACACATTTGTTCCTTCCTCCTTCCAAGAACACATACATGTGTGTGTGTATATAACTCCGCATACGCTTTCTTCTCCGTTTGCCTCTTTCTTTCTTTCTTTCTCTCTCGTTCATTTCTCCTATTTCATTGTATGTAGACTTTTTTGTCGGAAAAATTCATTCAACGATCTCTGGAGTATAGCTAATTGTATTGCGCGCGCATGCATGTGCGACTGATGCGGAAAAAGGGAGCAAATATGTGCCGCGACATTCTTGAGTCCACCATACGCCGCTCCGCATGAAAAATTGTAAATAATAGATCTTTTCTGTGTCGATCGTCTTTACGAGTAGTGGGCAGCTGGGCTCTGCGCTGCGATCGAGAAATTTAAAGAAAATATTTTCGCTCGTCCTCGTGTGAAGGAGGATACACTCGAGTTCATTGTGTTTTACGCTACGACCATCGTGCAAATGAATGAATGAATGAAAAAAAAAGAAGAAGTTAGGTGCGAAAATCGTCGTCGTATACCAGCACTTTCCTTCGTCCTGGTACTCGCTAAATATCTTTCCCAGGTGTCACCGACCATATAACAAGCGATTCTCAACGCTAGGCCCGTTCGGCCCGTTAGTCGTTAGCGTACTGTGTATTCTCAAGACAGGGGGAAGAAAAAACAATATTCTAAAGCACGAGAGGTGCACGCGGTGCGATCGAAAAACGCGCGTTTGGCTTCCGTATCGAACGTTTTGAAAAGTACACAACTGATATCGCGACACATTCCGATACACGCAAGTGTGTGTACTACATTCCCTCGTTGGCTGCGCACGTTCGAAATCTGTACGATATTATTATGTCAATCGCTTTTATCGGAATCACGAAATAGTGCAGTGAAAATTTCGAGAACGATTTCGTGTACACACACACATACAATCGGAACGCTATAAAATTTCACTCTTATGAATTTATCGCGACAGGGGGGGCTTATCGCGTCGATTAAGAGTCAATTTTCACAAAGGCTGCAGCAGTAGTAGCGAACGAGCTCCGATACTTGTAAATGCCGATCGAACCTCTGGCGCTCGCGAGTCCCCGTATAAGTAGGTATGTGACTCGTTAAAAATCATAACAGCAGAGCGCGAGTCGTAAAGGCAGCGATCGAAAAGTATATGAAAAATCGAAAAATCCAATTACCAACTAGCCGCGAACGTTTGGTGCGGACCGTACACACGTGGACGCTTATTACAGTATATATACATCGGACCGTCGACTAACGAATCAATTACCGATACGCAATTCTTTACCGTGGGAAAAGCCACGGGCATTCTAGCAATAAAAAAAAAATAAATGAAAATAAAGATAAATAAATGTTATAACAATTTCTATACGCGCTCAGCCGCGTCGCCAAGGGAGACAATATTATTGTCCCGAATTTTCGCCCTCGTTACAATAACAATCAACAAAAACAAATTCAAACGCACAACAGCTATGTACCTTGAATGCACTCACTGCGATATACATAGTATATTACGAATAAAGACAAGTCGAAGGGGCGGAGAGATATAGTGAGGCTAATTGAAAGTTGATTCGAAACGAGTCGATATTATTTAATTGTTGAACGCGTACGAATATATAGCTGCATGCGCTTAAACGCGAACGCGCGCATACCGCACGCGCTCTGCTATACACATTATTACGATATAAAATTATACATGTCGAGGCAGAGCGAGCGCGTGTTTATAAACGCGGTTCAGCTCGCGGAAAATGTGACCTGAATTATCTTCTCCTGCATAATCGTTGTTTTTTTTTCTTTTTCGATTATGTAGGTATACGTACAAGCGTGTGTCCGTGTGCGTGCGTTTTATATGCTGCATCGGCTATAATGTAATAAAACGACGCATTCCATGCACACAGAGTGCCACTTTTATACCGTCCGTCT